AGATGTCAGCAGGGAAGCTTCTTCTCGGGTATCTCTCCCAGGCTTGTAAATAGATGCCCTATCCTGTAGATAGATGCCCTATTCTGCATCCAGGCTGGTAGATAGATGCTCTATCCTATATTCAGGCTGGTGGATAGATGCCCTAACCTGTAACCAGGCTTATAAATAGATGCCTGGCTTGTAGAACGGTAGATATACTATCTTGTATTCTGTCTGGTAGATAGATGCTCTATCTTGTATCTGCCAAATAGATGCCCTATCCTGTATCCAGGCTGGTAGAGAAATGTCCTATCCTGTATCCAGGCTGGTAGAGAGATGTCCTATCCAGGCTGGTAGACTTGTTCTCTATCTAGGTCTGCCCATGAGTAAAAGTGGGTCCCAATTTCTTCCTATAAGGGCTTCAGTCAGATTGGATTAGACTCCACACAAATGTCCTCATTTAAATTTAATCACCTTTTTTTTTTTTTTTTGGTTTTTCGAGACAGGGTTTCTCTGTGGCTTTGGAGGCTGTCCTGGAACTAGCTCTTGTAGACCAGGCTGGCCTCGAACTCACAGAGATCCGCCTGCCTCTGCCTCTCAAGTGCTGGGACTAAAGGCGTGCACCACCAAGGCCCGGCTTTTAATCACCTTTTTAAAAACCATACTTTCAATTAGTCACATTCTGGGCTACTGAGGGTTCTGCTTTCAAAATATCAAACTGGAAGACTGTCACAACTCATGCCAAACACATCCTCAAAAAAACATAATATAAACTCCAAGACTAAAGCAGGGCATGACGTCACACAAATGGAATCTCAGCAATTGAGAAGTAGAAACAGGTGGACTTGGAGTTGAAGGCTAACTTCAGTTACACAGCTAGGCCAGCCTAGGTTACATGAGACTCTGTCTCAAAATAAATACATACTTGAATAAATTGAGATATATATCATGCTCTTGGTGGAAAAATTTCACTCTTATAAAATAAAAAAAAAACACCTGGCTGGCATGATAGCATGTATCTGTAATCTCAGCACTTCAGCGGTACATGCGAGAGGACCAGGAGTTCAAGGTCATTCCCAAATACACAGCAATTCTCAGGACAGCCAGGGCTACAAGAAACTTGTCTTGAAAAAATAAGCTATACCAACAAGGGTTCAAACAAATATCAATTTATTCTAAACTACTGCAGTCAAATTCCATGGAATAGAGTTTAGTCCTCTTGCCTTTCCCCTTTCATTTTGTTGCATTATATTTGATTGTATATTATTTAGAACTAAAGCACTATTTATTTTAGGCTCATCATTTCTCATCCCTAACCAACATTCCCAAGTACCTTAAGGCTAATCTCAACCAAGCTAGGCAAACGCTCTACCAATGAGCTATTCTCCACCCCAATGCTCCTCCCCAAGAAGACAGTTTTTCTTCTGATGTAATCTTAGGATCCAGCTCCATGGGCTTTGGTGGGTGGAGGTGGAGGGGAAGCCGCAGCAGGTCTACTTAGTGTGGGGGTTCCATTCTTTCAGATTTCTTTGTTATGTGGACGCACAAACATCTGGCCGGGAATGGCACAACTCAGGCAGTAATCTGGCTTCATGCAGATCCTGGAAAGCATGTTGAAGATACTTGCTTCTGAAATGTTTCAGAAAAGCCAGGCAGTGATGGCGCACGCCTTTAATCCCAGCACCCGGGAGGCAGAGGCAGGTGGATCTCTGTGAGTTCGAGGCCGAACTGGTCTGACAGCCTCCAAAACAATACAGAGAAACCCTGTCTCGTAAAACCAAAAAAAAAAAAAAAAAAAAAAAAGGGAAGAAAAGAAAAAAAGAAATGTTCCAGAAAGCTGTGGCCATTACTATTTCAAATAACCAACTTCTTACTGGTCTTGGTTTTGGGCACATACCAGGAGCAATTCATGAAGTGAATAGACTGTTTTCAGTCTTTTCTGGAACAACCATGGCTCTCTCGTTTCTTTTCAGCATCTGGGAAGCCAGGGAGACCTGTGCATCCATCTGTGTTAACAATCAACTTGTCCTTTAATCCCAGCACTCAGGAGGCAGAGGCAGGCGGATCACTGTGAGTTCGAGACCAGCCTGGTCTACCGAGCGAGTTCCAGGACAGCCTCCAAAGCCACAGGGAAACCCTGTCTCGAAAAACCAAAAAAAAAAAAAAAAAAACCAAAAAAAACCCCCAAAACAATGAACTTGTCCTTTCAGTGCTTTCACTCTGTTCCCACTTCCTTGGTCCTCAAAATCTGCACATCACGCCACCTACAACAACCTTTGTAAATAGGATTTTTCCTCAGATACTGTATTTCATAACTGTGTCAGGTGAGCTGAGTCAGGCTAATTACTGTGATGAGGTAATACATCACTGATAAAATGAGAATAAAAACAGTACTTACCTCAAAATTGTGAAAACTAGACTTAGTGATTTTAAAACTCAGGAGACTATGGTAGCACACACCTTTAATCCTAGCACTCTGGAGGCAGAGGCAGGTGAATCTCAAGTTTCAGGACAGTCATGGCTACCTAGTGAGACCATCAAAAGAAGAAGTGGGGGGAGAAGAGACTGTCCATTGTTTCACTTTTACCTAGTTCTTAAGGTTGTTCTTTCCTGTGGCTTAAGCTCTGTACTTCTTTTCAAGTTATTATATTAAGAAAACACTTGCTATTTTATCAAAGATAACTTACATGTCCAACAGTAGGAAAAGCTCAAAAATAGATAATGATAGCATACTATAGAAAATTATAGGGAGAGGTGTATTTGTGGATAAAAAATGCATTTGATATCAAAGGATGATCAAGGATTGAGAGATGGCTCAGTAGTTAAGAATACTTAATGCTCTTGCAGAGGACATGAGTTCCAAAATTATTAGCACCCATGTTGAATGGCTCACAAATGCCTGTAGCTCCAGCTCCAAAGGCTCGGACTCCTTCCCTGGCCTGCTCTAGTGCCCAGACCAACATGGATATAAATGTGAAGACATCCATCCATATAAAAAAAAAAGTAAAAGAGACTGGTCATGGCTGCTTAATTAAAGTAAGAATAAAGCAAGTTGAAGAAGTGTGCTCCCACCCATATATCCATTTTGAAAATGTCAGCAGAGGACAGAAGTCTCTTAGGAAATGAGGCGGCATGCTGGGGTGGTAGCACACGTCTGTAACCCCAGCTACTCCGGAAAGCAGTACCAGGGAGGGAATAAGAGGCCAGCAAGGGCAATGTGGCTGAACATGTCCCAGTGTAGTGTTTCAGAAAGGGGAGGGTGATGCAACTTACTGGCAGAGAGCTGGCCTCCTATGTGAGGCCCTGGGCTTGTACTGGGGTGAAAGAGAGCTGGCCTCGTATGTGAGGCCTTGGACGTGTACTGGGGGTGAAAGAGAGGCCGTGTACTTTCCTGCAATAAATGAATGCCTGATCTAAGACAGAGTTTCACTGTGGCACAGCTCCTGATCCTCTGGCCTCAGTTCTCTGGAGTGCTATGATTCCAGGCATGTACCCGTGTGCACAGCTCTAAATAGTTTTATATGAAAGAAAAATAAAACAATTATGAAAACCCCTATAAACTTGTGGGGTTTTGTTTTCCAGAAAAAAAAGATTTTTTTTTTGGTTTTATGAGACAGGGTTTCTCTGTATTGTTTTGGAGGATGTCGGTCCAGCCCAGAGAGATCCACCTGCCTCTGCCTCCCCAGTGCTGGGATTAAAGGCGTGCACCACCACCGCCCGGCTAAAGATAGTCTTTTATTGTTGGTGTTTATGGTAACTTTTTTTTTGAGACACCATGTAGCCTTGGTTGCCCTGGAACTCACTATATAAACCAGGCTAGCTTCGAATTTACTGAGATCCCCTTGACTCTGCCTCCCTGTGAGCCAGGGTTAAAGGCATGTTCTACAAAGTCAAGCTAGAGTAACTTTCTTTAAGTGAATGAAAATACTGGAGGATTTAGGGTTAAGGAGTTAAGTACTAGGGTTTTCTTTAGGACATCTAGTCCATTATGCAAACTAACGTCAAAGTACATGTGTGTGTATTATGTAATATATTACATATTATATATAACTCTCATATACATATTATGTTATACTAGCATTATATATGTATTTATTACATATTTATATAATTTTTTGAGAAACAGACAGGATTAAATATTTTTGTTGTCCTAATAGTCAGCTGCCAGATTTAATTACCTGGGAAAGACAATGAAATGGCAAAAATCTCTCAATTTAAACACTGGTGAGGGCAAAGGGAACAGCTTTTTTTTTTTTTTTCAACAAATCTCGAGACTGACAAGACAGATAATCTCCACATAGAAAACTGAAATTTTGAGAATTGCTTCCATGGTCAAGAGAAAACTTAGGGAGTTGTAAATAAAACCCAGCACGTTGAAATAAAAGAAAAAATTCCTTGTCTTCTGCGAATTCCTATTTACTGAGACTCAAGAGTTGGGGGTTTGTTAGTGAAAGGTAAAAGGGAAGTGAGCTGAAGAAATAATAAAACGGGCATTAGAACCTGGGGTGCATTTTAACCTAAATACCTGTTTTGTCTAGTAAACCTGTTGTTTTCGCGTCTTCAAGGCTTCCTTGGCTATCAGGAAGCTGAGGCCGCAGCCGCCACCTGGCGACGCGCTTGACTGGCAATGAGTCCCAGCTGGGGCAATTAGAAAGGCTGAGGCGTCTCCTTTAAGAAGCTGACTCACGTGGATGCTGTGTTGTGTGCGCTCAGCTGGGAAGGGGGGCGGGTCCTCACTCTCACCACATTGGCCACCTTGGCCGAGGAGGCAGAGTTAGCCTCCTTGATTGGCTGTAAGAGTGCAAAGTGTCGAATTAGGGGCGGGACGAGCAGCGATGAGCCCGCCCACCCTCTGCGGCTTCGGGGCGGGGTGGGCGGCGGAGTGTAGGGGAGCGAGAGTGGGGGAGGGTGAGCCAGCGAAGGGGCGGGGCGCGGCGGAAGGGGCAGAGTGCCAGGGAGAGGGGCGGAGCCTAGAAATGAAGGGTGCTGCGGGCCAACCGGGAGAGCCGCCTGAAGGGAGGGCGGGGCCACGCCGGGTGATTGACGCCCAGACCCGAGCGGGGAGAGGCGGGGCCAAGGCCTGACTAAACCTGAAGACTTGGAGGCCGAGGGGCTTCGACCCAGCTGAGGAGCGAAGAGCTGCTGGCAGCGCCGATCTCCCCAGCGCGCAGGTGAGTACGGCGGCAGGCGCTGGGCTCGGCGTCGGCGGGCACTCGGGCCGGCGGCTTCGAAGCCCTCCCGGAGCGGCCCCGGGGCGGGGGCCCAGGCAGGAAGTGCCTCTTCCCCTCGCCACTGGTCCGGGGTCCCGGCGGGGCCACCAGGGCCCCTCAGGACCGTAGGGCCGCGGGCCGGGCCGTGGCTCTTTGTGAGGCTGCGGCGCGGCGGCCGCCGTCGGCCCGCCCCCGCCGCGCAGCCGAGCGCCCCGCGAGCCCGCAACAGCCGCGACCCCTTGGCGACCCCGCGATCCCCACCCGCCTTCCCCGCCGCCCTCGGCGACCGACTCCGCGGCTGCCGGGCCGCGGACAGCTGGCCCGGTGACACCCCCACTTCCTCGGCCGCCCCGCCCCCACGGCTGCCGTCCCCGCCGCAGCGTCGGGGGCGCGCCCGGGCTCCGCTCCGGGTCGGCCCGCGGGCCCGCGCTCCAGGGCCGCGCTCGCACCCAGCCGGCTGCGGAGGCCGGACTCGCGCCCCGGTGCTTCGGCTGTGGGCCGTGCCCGCCTTGGTGCCAGCCCCCTGGCATGCTGCCCTCCGATCCCTTCGGACCCTGGGCGTGGGGACGCCGCTGGGGAGCCCCCGCGGGTGCCAGGCGCCCCGGAGCCCGCGCCCGCCCAGCTGTTCCGCCTGTGTTTGTTGTGCCGAGGAGGCCCCGCCACCGCCGCGCTCTCCGCCTTGCGCCTGGCAATTGGCTGGCGGGTGTCACGTGGGCGCGATCAGCTGGGCCGGCTGCGGGCGGTCGGCCTGGCAGCGACCCCAAAGCTGGCTGGTGAGCCCCCCTGGCGGCTCCACCGGGCGGAGGTAGACATACATACCACTGCACACCCTTTTATTCCACGCTGCTGTACAGGTAGGTAGGAAAATGGATTCTGAGCCAGCGTGGAGTGTGGAGCCGCGGTAGTACAAAGGTCTGCTTAATCCCGGCTCCGACTAATCTCCCTTTGGAGTGGCAGTAAGGGAAGGTGTTCAGCTAGCTCATTTATTTTTAAACTTTTTTCTGTTTGCAGAGCCCCGTTGGAAATCGGAGGATTTTTATTTCAGGTGTCCCTTGACTGATGGAAAAAACTGAAAGTAACCGCAGGCTTACCTTGCTTTTGGAAAATAAGTGAACTTGCTGATGAAGTGGCAGGCATAATGGGAAACCTATCAGTTTTGCAAACCACACAGGCGGCTTTGCAGCTGCACTCCAACATAGAGGAAACCAAAGTCTCTCAGTGTTCCTAGTGTGCATATTTGTGCCAGATGTGAAGTGCCTTGATGGATTCTTTTTTTTTTTTTTTTTTTTTTTTTCGAGACAGGGTTTCTCTGTAGCTTTGGAGGCTGTCCTGGAACTCGCTCTTGTAGACCAGGCTGGTCTCGAACTCACAGAGATCCGCCTGCCTCTGCCTCCCTAGTGCTGGGATTAAAGGCATGCACCACCAACGCCCGGCTGATGGATTCTTTTACTAAGAATTAATTGTATATTATAGTGTATTAGGTAAGAAGGAAATCCTGAAATTGCTGGGCGTTGGTGGCACACGCCTTTAATTCCAGCGCTCGGGAGGCAGAGGCAATGAAATTGAGAAATGGCACAAGGCTAAATACTAAGTTATGAAATGAGTGTTACAAAAAGTTCAAAGATGACACAGTGAGACACCAGAAGGAGGAAGTGGGAAATATCTGAAGAGATCTGGTATTAAGCCTAGAAAATGAAAAGTCTGTGGGTTGATGTGGGCCAGATGGGCTTAGGAAAAACAGCCCTGGAGCTTTTACAAATAGCAAGAAGGTGTAGCGTGTGCAGTTTGGCAGATGTGTGTGTGTGTGTGTGTGTGTATGTGTATGTATATGTATATGTAAGTGCACACGGCCCGGTTTCTGTAGTGGAGCACAAGGTATTTTGGGCTCTTTGGAAGGAGCTGATGCCCTTATTTTCCCAGTAGAGTTGTACACCCCGTAGGCCAGGCTGCCTTACTGTCCTCGGTGCTGGTATCGCAGGTGTGCTAACTAATGCTCACCTCATACCCTCATCTGGCCCACTGTTGAGTACAGATCCCCACAGCTTATGTGTAACCACCACCTTATCTGTAGGAAAGACACAATGACTACATTTCAGTCGGCAAGGGAAACCAACTTGGATTTTTTTTTTTTTTGGTTTTACTAGACAGGGTTTCTCTGTATTGTTTTGGAGGCTGTCGGACCAGCCGGGCCTTGAACTCACAGAGATCCACCTGCCTCTGCCTCCCTAGTGCTGGGATTAAAGGCATGTGCCACCACTGCCCGGCACCAACTTGGATTTTTAACAGCAACTTTTCTTAGCATGCTTGGCAAAATGTGTGTGGCTTCTTCTAAAAGAACATGTAGTTGGAATCCTAGTCTCATTTACCTTTTCTGTTCACTGAGGTTTAGAGGCAATAAAAGGTAAAAAGGGCAGTGAGAAGTCCCTGCAGGTAAGAGTGCTTGGTGAAAGCCTGACTTTAGTTCAGGGACCCACAAGGTTGAAAGCTGTCCTGATCTCCAAGTGCCCCCACACAAATAGGTCTAATAAAAATGTATAATTTAATAAGGAAATCTACCTACCCCAAAACCTATGAAAAAGTCTATGGGGCATGAAACTACTGTGAAATATGTATTCATGAAGTTCGAAGGTAGTCCTAAGTATATTTGTATCTAGACTATCCTTTGTTTTGTAGTGCCTTGATAGTTATGTAACTATGTAAATTAGTACTATTTCCCTGATAATGCTGTGTGGTAACAAATGTGTAATTTGGGAATTGTTAACTAGACTTGAATTTGCTATTTGGCACTTCAGTCTAGGAACCACACAAACTAAACCTTAGCTATGTACCAACAAGAAGCACCCAGTATTGTATCACAACAAACAAGGGGATCGTGTTTGTCTTGCCAAGAAGTTTTTGGGGAGATGACCAACTCAGATTATTTGCTGACTCATGACCAGCTGCTGAGTTGTGTGACTGGGCTTGTTTTCTAATGATGACTAAGCCCTATTCTAGGAAATACAGTCAGTATGGAAATTGTCTAACAAAACGTAAAATAGGGCATTATCTTAGGTGAGAGGAACACACACATTTTCTTACTGTTAAATGAAGATTCAGTCCCACAAGCAGGACATCATTTGACCCAGCAGAGTACCTTCATACTGTACTCTAAGAGGATGACATGGCTTTCTTATATTGAAACTTTTGCTAACCAGTTAAAAACTTTGGGCTGGGAATGTATCAAATGGTAGTGTGTTTTCCTAGCATACACAGGTATTTTGCTTGGTTTCCAGTATTACAGACAGAAAAAAAATATTTTATAGATTGAACTGTTATTTCCCCATGTACCTTTAAAGTAGAATATTGTTAGAAATTGCTGTGAAAATAGTTAATGAAACTTCAATAGCATCAAATGTTCATTACTGTATTAATAATTGTTCCAGCTGTTAAAGTTTTATGGATTTTGTTCTTTGTTCTAGAGAGAAGAAACTGAAATCCAAATAGACCCTTCCCATGCTAGAACCCTGTGTACCAGTCTCCTTACACACACTTATCCTCTCCCACCAGGTTCAACGGAAAAAAAAAGAGCCCCTCTGCTCTGTCCATGTTGGTGGGGGCAATGGGATGGGTGTTTGTGGAAATGCCCTAAAGGTATAATTCCTTACCTTAAGGAATAGTCTTTCTGAAGTGGACATTTTCTACCAGGTCATGTGCAAATGCAAAGAGATGCCTATTATTCCCCATGGTATTTTTAGAGCTAGGAAGTGATGCCTCCTTAGGCTAAATTCATTTGCCAGGATTGAGACCAAACTGGATTATTAATTATAAGGCAGGTACCTATTTTAAGACCAAAGTTGAGACACTAAGAATTTGAAATCTAAGGTTTCTAACTTTTGTCCTAGCTCTAATTTCTGTTACCTGGATACTTGACATGTCTGTAATCAACAGGGGGCCAAGCCGTTAATTGCTACTGTTTTGTATCCATTCTGAACCTTGCTTTCTTGGCATAGGCTATGTAGACTGCTTTTATTTAGCATTCACTGTACAGGCACTGTTCTCAGGATATAGTATCTCCATTTAATTGTCAGAGATACCTGCTGTTGCTTTTTAGGAAACAGGGTAATTTGTCAAAGTTTACAATGGTATTGACAAGGGAGAGTGAAATCTAAGCACTTGGCTTTGGGGGTGAAGTGAGGAGGCAGCAGCTGCGTATGTACTATTGACTTGAATGATCTTCATTTAGTGATCTTCAGAATGCTCAAGTGGTTATGGAAAGCTAAGGATTTTTGTTTGGAGCCTGGGACTCTTCTCTGGCTAGCTCTAAACTTCAGTACTCTGCTTAGTCTACAGACCTGAGCCACTGTGCCCAACTCAGAATACCAATGATGTTAGCCAGAAGAGACAATGGCAATGGGATTGCAGTAATTTGTCAGATACTACTATTGATTTTTAGACCTGACTGCCAACCAAGTTTCTATTTTTCTAAGTGAAGACCTTTTTTCCCTATCTCAGTGTGTTCTTAAGCAGGATAAATTGGTCCTGGTAAGGACTGAGATGGTGACTGTTTAGAGTGTTGCATGCCACAGTCGCCATGTAGACTCTGCAGGTAGCTAGAAAGCAGTTAAGTATAAACAAAGTGTGGCTGTGTTTCAGAGAAACTATCACCACTAAAATATTTGATGTTTCTTTTTAACCTTTTAAAACAATTTTATTTTTAGCATGTGGATAGTTAAATTAGAGGTGAGCTAGACTTGGCCAGCTGACGCCTGTGTTTTTGGTTTGGGTTTTATTTTATTCTATGTGTATGAGTGTTTTGCCTGCAGTAGTCTCTGTACTAATTGTGTGTCTGGTGCAGGTGAAGACCAGAAGAGGGCATCAGATACCCTGGAAATGGAGTTAAGATATTTGTGAGCCCATATATAGATGATGGCAATCAAACCCAGGCTCCCTGGGAGAGGAGCCAATGCTCCTAACTGCTGAGT